TTAATCAAAGAACTTTGGTTATTTTCTTTAAAATACAATCTTTTCTTAACGGTTATTTATTTGGTGTGTCACTTATCATAATGGCATGCACATCAGTAATCTGAACATTTACGTCGTGAAACCGACAATACCGGTGGAGAATCTAGGGGAGGAGCCCGAGGGGCCCGGCGCCCCCCTTATCTTGGGTGAAAAAAAAGAATCGCAGAAGAAGGGCCGGCAAGCGACGAAATTCCGCCCCCCCCCCTCAACCTTGAGCTAAGGGGGGGGGGGGTTCCGCTACGGCTTCTTCCATGATGGATTAATTTGGATAGTGAAAATGTAGAATCTTTTGTACTGGGAGACATGAACTGTGATATGATCACTACTCGATATGACAATGACATATCCAAATTAAGGAGTATTGCCGATATCTACGGACTCGAGCAGCTCATCTCTGAACCAACGAGGATAACACCCACCTCTTCAACTCTAATTGATTTAATCTATACCAACTGCTCAGATAAGATCGTTTGTTCGGGAGTTTGTCACATCGGGATAAGTGATCATAGCATGATGTGTGTATATAGAAAACTTGCCCAGAACGGAATGTCTAATGGGCATAATTCTATTACATATAAAAATTTCCGAAATTTCGATCGTCAAAATTTTCGTTATGACATCCTATCTCAATGTTGGGATAATTTATATGAGTCTTCCAACCCAAACGTGATGTGGCAGCAATGGAAATGTACATTTCTAGCTATTGCTGACAAACATGCCCCACTGAAAACGATGCGTGTTCGTTGACGGAGTTCTCCATGGATTACCTCTGAATTGAAAGACTCTATGCGTAATATAGACATATTAAAAATCAAAGCTAGCAAGACAAATGATCCTAACGATTGGGCATTATTTAAGAAACAAAGAAATATAACCAATAAGCAAATACGCTCATTTAAGCTAGTTTATTACCGAAATAGTTTTAATAAGCACATCAGCGACTCCCGAAAGACCTGGCAGACTATAAACGAGCTAACCTCTCGAAAATCTGGGAAAACGTCAGTGGCGTCACTAAAAGTGAACGGATTAACGATAATTAATCCGTTGGAGCTATCAAACGAATTCAATAACCACTTTGCTAATATTGGTCCAAAACTTGCCAGTGAGATAAATTGCGATAGTGGTAGCTATAAACGGTTTAAGCTCCAACCCACCAATCCAAATAAAGTATTTTCACTTTTAAATAAACTAGACAAGTCAAAGGCAACGGGCCTTGACAAAATATCTGCTAGGTTGGTCAGGGAATGTGCTGATCTTATTTGTGTGCCGATATGTGATATTTTCAATCAATCTATTAACCAAGGGACGTTCCCAGATGACTGGAAATATTTATTATTTTTTTGGCATATTTTAAATTGTTCCAATATCTCCGACATCACAATCAATTCCAGAATTGAAACAATCAGATAATTTTTGTAGAGAAGCAAAAGTTTCCAGGACACTTATGACTGAAGTCTTGGGTTTCGTAGTTTGCTGGGCTCCGGTAATGGTCATCTAGCTGATCCATTTGTTTGCAGAATCTAGATTTAATCTACTAAAGAAATCTATTTTGAAGTCTCTTTTAATGGACTCAAACAGACAGTTTAGGAAGGAATATATCGACTTGTTACAAGTTACTTGTCCTTCATCCATACAGTTTACCCCAGTTGCAACATAGAGTTAGTGGCTCAGATATGTTTCTAATGTATCTAATGAGATGTGTATCTAATGAGATGTATATCTTATCCATAAATGAGAAAATTAAAGGAACTTCAGAATCGGCGAGAGTTTGTGATGGACGGTAGATCCTTTGCTTGATAGTTTTGTGCACGACATGTGGATGGAGCTTAAAAAAACTAATTGCATTTTCCTAACTAGTCACGTACACATTTCAAATTGCCAGCTATATTTCTAATTTTTGAGATATATTGTGTTCAGTTAAAACTTGCAGAAGAGTAAAAAGGCTAAGTTCAAGGATACTGTGACAAGGATAAGGCTGGTATGGCTTTCGAAAATCGATTATTTGCAACCCGCGTTTTGAGCGGGAAATCAAACTGGTGAGGTTGTAATTGAACAGTATCTCTCAGTAATTTGCAATTTCTGATCAGCTTGCAAAGCATTAATACCGGCATTGCCAAAGCTCTTTCAATCGGAGGAAATTACTGTTATTTGTGTTCCTGGAGGAAGAGTTTTGAGTTAAAATAGGCTGGAAAGAAAGAGACAGAGTGACTGAAAGAAAGCAAGAAGTAAAAGGCGTAAAGGGAGCTAGAAAGGACATAAAAATAGGCAGAATACGGCGAGAGGAACGAGAAAGAGAAGAAGAAAAGGCGTTAAGTCGAAAGGCGAATATCCATCGGCGTAGAGCAACGTTGGAAGGAAATACAAAGAGCTCTAGAAAACAGACTAAAAAGAGGTCATCAACAAAAAGAAACGAACTACAAAGGATCGGAGAAAAAAGAGGAGGTAAGTTGAGTCTTCTCTGGGTTTTTTTTTTTTTTTTTTTTTACATTGAGGCTCGGAAAAATTCAAACCTTCTTTACCAATTGTTGATTGATACTAGTTTCAGTTAATAATTCAAATCACGTTTCAGTAAAATTTTAGCATTCATCCCTTTAAAACCTTCGCGCCGGTTCACCGCTCGAATAACATTTTAAAGTGTTCGTATTCTTCAAGTTATTTCTTGTCCTATTGTTTGGAATGTTTAATACAGTCGTGCTGTAAAGGGAAAATAAGGTATCTTACGGATTTTGTTTTGCCTAAGTTTTGAAAGTTTTCAAATCATAGCGAACGACGTTAGCAAGTTTCTATGATTCCCTCTTCAGTTAACGCGCTTTGTGTTGTTTTACCTTAAGAATGAAGTAATGGTCTTTCTGTAAATTGAAACGAAATGAGATTGAGTGAGCGATGTTCATGTTTACATTAAGTCTGATGCGGTAATTTGATTTTGACAATATGTGAGAACTCGTCAAACATCGGAGAATTAAATTACAGACCGCAAAGGTTGTGCCTAAATCCTACCGGCTATAAGGTACGCCCGAGGAGCACTAGTGACGAGTTCCCGAGTCGAGTAATTATCGGAAATTATCGGCTATTCCAATATAGCGGACTATTCCAGTGATACTAACAGTCAAGTCACGCAAGTGAACCAGACATGAATATTATTGCATGCTTTACTTGTGATGATTACGTTGTAGAGTTTAAATCAAGGAGGTTTCGCTAAATTCTGTATGAGAGTTTCCTTCACCCTCGTCGATCTCAAGTTTCTCGTTAAGCAGAGTTTTAGCTTAACAGTCTATAGCCACCAAGACCTACGCTTGTAAAGGTAAACAAAACTTATGAATGGTATCGCCACTATAAGAGGGTCTGAATGGGGGGGGTCAAAATGTCGGTTGTCGGTTAAAATTTCATTACTTTGTCGGTTGTCGGTTAAGATTTTTGACCTTTGTCGATTGTCGGTAAATCTCAGTTAATAATTAAAAATACACGTTAATTATTCACATTTATTATGCAATTTGCCCAGTTTTAAGACTTTAAACTCTAGACGAAGTGTAATACTTGTAATAATGCATTATTTGTTTTCATTTAAACCTCGTTAACGCTGTTTTTTAATTTAGCAACGTGCTCATCTACCCCACTTTTGTTTGCAAATCTAGTATACCGATAAAATTCACCAAAGCTTTTATTATAGATGTGAATTTGTTTCCTGTCGACTACGGGGCATCGAAGTAAATCAAGAGAGGTAAATTCTACAAAGAATGAAACACCCACTCTAGCCCCTGGGATACCTAATTTTAATTTGTAAGCTACGGAAGTCTTTTTTCCGAGACCTCCACAAAAACTCACTACACTTATTATTCAACGGCTCTCGTGGCTTTTCTGTGAGGTTTCTTTTTTTTCTCTTTTTTTGCCAAAAATTTGGTTGTCATACGTATCAATCTGCACCGTTAAATGGATTTTTAACTGTTAGTACCTCTTACATGTCGAGACGCACAAATGCACGAACAGCCCTGCCGGATCGGGTAACACACACTCTGTTGACAACCTCTGGATGTTCTTCAAAATCTGATTCCTCGTCATCCGAATCTGTCTCATACTCATCGATTTGTACTTCTCTGTGATCCTCAAACACCTCAGTAACATCCCCTTCGTCCACAAATTGTATGCTGACAACGCGTTGTGCATTTGCTGACGATACAGTGTTTTCTTCAGGATATCGAAGCCTCTCTTCAGACTCGTCGGTGTGGTGAACGGCGTAGAGAGCTGGCGGCAAGGCCCCAGCCTTATCTTTTGTGGTCTCACTCCTAACCGTCCGTTGGCGTACTGGTCTGTAACTCTCTAGCCACTCTTTGATCTGTCCTTCCATCCCTGGTGTTATGTCCTCACTTGGCAAAGGTGTCATCGTAGCTATAGCAGAAAGGGGCATGGCGGATTGAGGTACCGGATAGTAGGATTTGTCATGCGTGTAGTACTTTGCTGCCCATCTAGATGTGCGCTTCAGAGATTCCTTGCAAATTGTTCCAAAATCCTGGGCATATGTAAGTACCGTAAATGTCCCGTGTTTCAGGTGCGAAACAGCGTGCAAATTTTCCACTACTGTTGTGAGCAACGTTTCGAGCAGCAGATCATCTACAAATTGGGGGTTAATGTCCATCAAGTTCTTGTACAGCCTTTCTATGCCCTTTTTAAGCAAAGACACAGACACTTGCGTCTTCTGTAATACAGTTCACTGTGGACCATTAGTTGCAGACGTCTCGCTCAACTGGTAGCGTTCTTTCACCTTACATTTTAGCCCGGCAAATTCTTTATTTTAGCACGCAAAATGCGCCACAATGCCCATCAAAGTGATAATAATACAATTTTTAGCCGGAATTTAAAAGAAACTATCTTTACATAGCGAACGCACCAAGTGAGCGTTTCTCGTTGTATAAACAAGGCAGTGTTTATAAACAAGGAATACCGCAGAATTTCCAAAGTAGCGAAATTTATGACTTTTGAAAATCAGGTAAACGAACTACAAGTGCTAATTCAGCCCTACCATCCTGAAACTTTTGAAGGTCTCCTTGTTGCCTTTCGTTTCTCTCGATGTCACCTCCTTCAGTCATGATCCTCTTTGCCAGATTTTCATCTTCTTTTGCTTCTTCTCGTGATTTCCGTTTCCTTCTCACTTTTGACTCGTCACCTTTCTTCTCAGTGTCGTTCATTGACTTCTGCTTGCTTTTATCAGATGTAGCCGGCGCCTTCACCAATTAATCAGAAAGAAGCTTATAAACTGATTTACTCGCTACTTCTTTGTAGAGATTTTTCTTCTCAATTTTCGCATTCAAATGGACGGTGAAAAAGAAAAAAAAACATTCCGCTCCACAAAACAACAAACAAAAAACGGTGGAACCAGAGTTTAACCACGTTAATATTTGAGCTTAATGTTTAACTACAGAACTAAAGTGATTCATCAAACTCCGCTGCACGCGTTCCACACTTACCGTTGAGCTCACTGCTACTTTCGTCCGATATTAAATTTGGAAGTTCAAGCTGCCATTGCCCATCCGTCACAATTGCAAAATTTTCGCATTTGCCCGCAGGCGATTTCGCCAGGCGAAATAACTTTAACGAAAATCCGCCAATTCCATATTGATGTGCCTGCTCCTTTAGTCCTAAAAACTCCGTAAGATGTTTTTTTAGTTCAGATACTCCTCTATGAGCTTCTTTGTCTACTGGGACCCTGCTTCGATGACGTTCGATGGCGACTTCTTCACCTTTTCGAAAAAAACTCACGATGACTTTAGCAATCCCAGTCATGACCCGATCGCATGAACAAACAACGAGCAATAAAAAGACAACAGCAGGGCGTCTCGTCGGCTCGATTGTGATGCGCTGTTCTTGAAATGAGACAGCAGGGCGTCTTGTCAGCCCGATTACGAGCCGCTGTTCTAGAAATGAGCCCACGCTGCTCACCGACAAGAAGGATCCCGTGGATTTATAGTAATTTGAAGACAAGAAATTCTATAATTCGGCTAAATTTGGAATTAATGTGGTTACGTCGGGTGAAGAAGGATTTTCTGAGCTAGAAATCATCAAAATGCTGTTCTTTCTGAATACAAACATCCCTATCACGTCTGACTATGTCGGTTGTCGGTTAGAATTTATTTGTCGCTAGTCGGTAATTTTTTCCCCGTTTCGTCGGTAGTCAGTAATTTTTTACGCCCTTTGTCGCTAGTCGGTTAACCCCATTCACACCCTCCTATAATGCCCTTGTCACAGTGCTACTGATTAGAAAGATCCCTAAGATAAAATTCTCGTTGTCTTGCACCTCTAGCTGGTAGGATATCAGGAGGGTTAGAAAATTACCACCAGCTAGAGATACAGCTTGCATATTTAGTCAACTTTGCCCAATTGTCACTACGGTTTGCTTCACATTTTACTTTTCTGCACTCCAAATTAGTCCTACACTCCTTTGAATAACCTTTTTCAAGAATTCGTTTACATTTATTTATTTTCATTGGGTCTTTCACGACTAGCTGGTAGGATCTGAAGGGGCTTATAAAACACTACTGGCTAGAGGTAGAGCTTGCATACGTAGCCGGTCAACTTTGCCCAATTGTTACCTCGGTACACGACCAAGGAACAAGAAGATATTTTTAACGAAAGTGAATCCAAGGAGTGTAAGACTAATTTGGAGTGCAGAAAAGTAAAATGTGCGTACATGAAGCAAGCTTTACCTCTAGCTGGTGGTATTTTCTAACCCTCTTAAGACCCTACTAGCTAGTGGTACAAGAAGCAAGCTCTACCTCTAGCTGGTAGTAATTTCTAAGCCTCTTAACCCTTTAACTCCCACAGCAAATTTGTAATTCTCCCCACTGTCAACTATACAATTCTTATAAAGTTAGTTCAGAGAATTTAGTATTGGATCAGCTTATTATCCCCAAATTGATATTTGTCTTTATTGTCATTACTTATCTAATTGATATTGTATTGATATTGTAAGGAAAAATTATGTCTTAGTCACTCATGGGAGTTAAAGGGTTGAGATCCTACCAGCTAGAGGTAAAAGGCCAAATTAAGAAAAAAAATGTAATTATACTCTTGTAAAAAGTGATTCTAGGGAGTGTAAGACTAATTTGGAGTGCAGAAAAGTAAAATGTCGAGCAAACCGTAATAAAAATTGGGCAAAGTCGACTAAATATGCAAGCTGTACCTCTAGCCAGTAGTATTTTATAAGCCCTGACAGATCCTGCCAGCTAGAGGTACATGACCAAATAAAAATACATAAATGTAAACGTATTCTTGAAAAATGAGAGTAAGACTAATTTGGAGTGCAGAATAAGTGAAATGTGAAGCAACCTGTCGTAAATATTGGGCAAAGTGGACTAAATATGCCAGCTGTAACTCTAGCCGGTGGTATTTATCTATGCCCCATAAGGTCCTACCGCCCAGAGGAACAAGACAATAGAAGTTTCATCTTGGAGATCTTTCTAACTAGTAGCACTATGACAAAGGCATTATAGTGGCGATACTATTCATAAGTTTTGTTTACCTTTGAAAGCGTAGGTCTTGGCGGCTACAGTGTTAAGCTAAAACTCTGCTCAACGAGAAATTTAAGATCGACGAGGGTGAAGGAAACAGCCATGCAAGAATGTTCATGTCTGGTTTAATCGCATCGCTTTGGCTTTACAGGAATAGTTCGCCATATTGGATTATTTAATAAGCCTAGTTATGCACACATTCTGATTGGTTCTCACTTATGATCTATTGGAGGACAGACGTATAGATGCCATGTTTTCATGCTTTCTTCTCGATTCGTTCGAACCTCAGGAAACAGTTTGTCTCACAAAACATGTAGCCACTTTCTCTTCTCTAAACACCTCGTGGCGTAAGTAATTATCGGGTTATGATGAACTTCCTTGCGATAGCATAATTTTTCCCAGAGCTGGAAACTGAAGAATCGATATCTGAAATTGACAGCATCGCAAATTGCAAGAAGCGTCCGAGCTGTGATCGTGTACTGAAACGGGGTCCTGGTAATTTGAGCTCACAAGCACGCTGGTAAGCACATGTTTAGCGTAAATAATTGTTCCTTACAGTTTTCGAATTCAAAAGCAGTTTTTGAGAATTCACGAATCCGTTTCTATAAACTTCCTGGATATAATCTTTTGAATTCATTGTGTTACAATCTCAGAGTTTCATGAGTGATTATGAACGATAAATTCGTATCGGCACCAACATTAATTTAAAACACATTTCGGTTTACAATCGTGAACCATTTTTGTAACCTGCTTGGATCTTTTGAATAAATTGAGTCACACCCTCGTTATTTCAGCAGTAATTAAGAACGATAAATCCGTAAATGTAGCACAACTGAAGGACATTTTAAACTTTCCATACGATTTTAGGAAACTATACTTAATTCTAATAATGTGAACTCATTAACTTAGCCTGGCATAACTCGTTGATTACTTGATAATTTTGTAGCCTCAAAAGCGCGGCTTATTACTCTAGAGGTACTGAACTTGATATATTTGATACCCCAGGCACCTTCAAGGGGGAAGGCTTGAATAAAATTGCTTTTACGACATATATTGCATCCGGTTTACAATTGTAGACGACTGTATAAAATAATCCTATTGTAGCTGTGTTCAGAATCATTAACATGTATGTAATCTTTTTCTGCTTTATTTAATTGTAATGTGTTTCTTTTTACGTAACGTGTATCCATTCCTTTAATTTCCTCCCTAACCTGTCTGCAAATAATTTAATTTCATGTTTTAATTTAAGCGTGAGAAGATAAAACAGAAGTGTTGCAGAATCCTCTTTTTGAATTGAGATGAGCAGATCAGTGAACTAGTTGATGTCATGCTTCTCCTGAATCCTTAATGTTATTGCCCTGTTCCTTTTTTTAACATAGCCTCTTTTACTTCAGTGTGTGCCAGCTAATTATTGAAATCTTAGTGAATAAATATGCCAACTGAAAGTTTTGAGCCAGTTATTTTTAATTCGATATCAGTTTTTGCATTTACTATTCTAAAACTCATAAATGGCATTAATTTTCATCTTTCTGAAGAGGCATAACACATTTCTTTAACTAAAATCTGAATCATGAAGTCCACTTAATTTCAATGAATTTGAAACTTAGTTATTAACACAAGAACACTTTACTGGAGTATAATGTTATATTTAGTGGCTGTCTTTCTTGTATATGTGACAACTATAAAATTATGTGTCTTAAAATGAGGGATTTCATAATTACAATATACTCATGCCTACAAATGTAAAAAAAAAATGTGATGAAACCCTGATCTTATGAAACACTTACAATGGAAAAACCTGTTGTTGGTAGCTTATCTCTTTAATGTTTAAATTTTCATGGGAAATGCCTTTCTTTGAAACTGGAGATACAAAAGTTTTAAAGGAAATAAGCTGTTTGCAAGTAATGAAAAGCAAATTGACAATCATACCTTAATGCTTGACATGCTTCACTCATATGTGTCAGTTGTCTGTACCTACCTTTGTAGAGGTGTCTTAAAAAAATATTTTTGGGCATGGCTGTCATTCTTTGTTGAACTTTTTTGCCAAAAAAAGTTATTGAAGGCACTGAACTTCAAATTTTTATGTACACAAATCATTTCCATGGTGGAAGAATAGAACACCATAGAATGATGTTTTTTAGGCACTGGCACTTACTGCAATGATATATTTAAGCAATACTCTACATATGTAAAACTGATTACATGATGCCTGTAATAACTGTACACATTTTATATATGCCTCACATTTATTGGCAACAATAGTTAAGATTGTTAGGGAAGGAAACCAAAAAAAGGGATAGTAGACAGTGAAATGAGGAACAGTAAACTTTGCCGCATGATGGAAAAACATAACAGAATACTGAAGAAGGGAAACTCGAATTGTGCCAGCTAATTTCCTCCATTGCCTTTCATGTTTTTGATCCAATAAAATTTAATCAGTTGTAGGGTTTGCCTACAATGTGTCAAATTATCGGTGTGGATGTGATTCTTCTCAGACATCAGCTGGCAAAAGTAACATTTGTTGTTTTCACATGTAACAGGATGGTCCAGCTGAAGAAAAGGGGTGAGATTGACTGTAACAGTAAGGTGACTAATTGGAAACTTAAGCACTTGGTTAATACACCTTGGCCTGCAATTCTGATGATTACAGTATACTGAGGTAATCAAAATGTTAGTCCCCATACAAGAACCTTCCACATGATCTGAAAAGTCGTATAATATGGGGTAACTGAAAAAAATGCATTTGTTTTCATTGGTAGAACTTTTGTAAGTACAGTACCACCTAGTGACTAAAATTAATGATTTCCTGTAAGCATGAATGTTTGAGAGAAAGTATGGTGATAATTGACCCTATTTGTGCAAGGATGCATAGGGTTTGATGATTTTAATCCATATCTTTTAGCTTTCAAACTTTCAACTTTGTATTAATTTTAACTGTTTACCACATCTATTTCTCTTTACCTTAAGCCCTCAAAACTTGAAGCAGGTGAGTCAATAACATGACTTCCTTTGTTTGGAATTGTGTGATTATATAATTTTTCTGTGTAAGATACTAGATTGCATTAAATACTCTTGCTCAAGCTTTCAATTGTGCATAGTGTTTCTCACAAATGCTCATACCCAAACAAACTGCGAGTTGTTTAAAAAGGGTGAAAATCTGGAAAAGCATAGATCCTCCTTCAATCAGGACTGAAATCAATGGGTGCCCTCTTTTAATTCGTGTTTTTGCTTTGACCTGCCTCCAACCCTTAAAGTGAAGGTTTAGGGGTCCATAGATGAGGAGTACCTCCTAAGTTCATAGGCAGGCAGGATTTAGGCAGGATCCCACCAATCCCATCTGGGATCCCAGGTGGGAATGGCAGGATCCCACCTATGCAGACATTGGCATAAGATTTGGTCACAAGATATGTAAGTTTTGAAGGGTGGGAATCTGGAAAGTGAGGATTCTCCTTTAATTAGGACTGAAATTAATGGATTAGCTCTCCTATTTTAATTCATGTTTTTACTTTGACTTGCCTCCTCCTTTTTAATATGTAAGGCACAAAGATGAAGATAACATTTTTTGTATTTTGATGTATGAAAGTTATATTAGTTGGCATCTATGGAATATAAATACCTTAGTTAGCTTTATAGGTTAAAAATTAAAATAAGAGAGTTGTGCAGACCAAATCCTACTTTTTATCATCATCTGGATATTTACTCAGATAACATACTTACTATCAGTCTAATTCAGTCTCACTGTCCACTGAGCTTGTGAACAGATGATAACCTCAGTATTTTTTAAAATAAGAAAGGAAAACCTGCCTTCTTCCCACAGATAGTTTTTTTGTGCATGGGCAAATTGCAAATTTTAAAGCACTCTCTTGAGATTAAAGTTAATGGCAGACCCAGGACTGTGGTTTTCTACCAATTCTTTATCATTATTTTCTCTTATAAAAATGGTTCTTCCTTTTTTTTCTAATGTACAAATGTGTACTGGAAGGTTATTGGTCCAGGTAAGCTAACCTTTAACTTATATGTGAAAATTTCTTGGTCCTGTCCTTGTATGAAAGCTTGACTCAATTTTATCTGAGTAACCTAAACTGAATAAATAGAAACTTGAAATTTATTTGTTCTCCTTTTCAGTTGTGCATCAAAATTTTGAAGTCATGGTGAGCGTGAACTACAGGTTTACAAGAAATTTGCAGCATTAAAACTGGGACTATAACTACTTCAAATGACTTTACTATGAGCTGCACAAGTACAGGCAGGTGTTGTAAAAAGTTTGTTTACTTTTTCCATTTGTACAAATTTTTTTTTCTAAGTATCTTGTCTATCTGGCCTCTGCTGAATTACAATTTTTCAACCAAATTTTATATTCTTTTGAATATTCTTAGATCTCCTAACATCAGTTGATATACATGTCTTAAAATAATTAATTGAACTCTTGCAGATGTATGGTACATTAATTTTTTCTCTGACCCTACTAACATTTTGTGTAGGAAATGGTAGTGGCTCTAAAAAGTATTGTCAAAGTAGAATTTTGTGCACAGCCTATGCATTAAATTTATGTAAAAAAATATTGTATCCTATATTGTATCCTAGATTAAGAATGAGTGACCACAGGTCTGCCCTTTCACAATGATAGTTTCCAGGATTAAAAAAAGTCACTTTGCCTGCTAAAGTTCTTAGTTCCTTTGCCTTGACAACCCAACCTCATCAAAACATTGGCAACAGGAGCCATGAGCAAATTAATGATACAAACAAGCAAGCAAATTCCTACGTACACCCTCCTCAATCCTGGACATGGCAATTCAAACATTGTATATGCTACAAATTTTTCATTTTCCTGACTAATTATTTCGTAATGGTGCTTACAATTTGTGGAAAATGATTGGGTTGACATATAATACAAAGACTTACCAGTAGATAGTCAAATGAACACTTTTTGTACTTATTAATAACATTTTTTGTTGTGTTTCATGTTAACATTAACTTATCGTTTGCTTTTTCTCGAGACGTGAGCTCGGGCCGCCTGTGAAGAAGAAAACATTCCAGGAACAAAACCGAAGGTCCTCAGCTGCTTAAAAGAACTGCCGACTAGCATGCGTGTTGATCACTTTGCAGGTTGTGAGAACATCGACCCTCGGTTCCAGACCCCGTCTATTCCCCACCCTGCACTGGTTTCTAAATCCCCTCGAAACTATTCGACAGCCCTTGCTTAAGAGTTTTATTACGGTTTTTATTATAGTGAGGGGCTGGAAATAAACTAAGAAGAGCTCAGCTATTAGGCTTGGCTAAAGTTGTGTATTATATGTCTGTATACCAGCAGGGCAGTAAATTTTTTATATCGACTTACGAACAAGCAGTATAGGAAGTAATATTTTGAACTGCTACAGGTCCCTGTCCTTTCAGAACGCATGTTACCCCAGTTGCCACATTAAGAGCTGGACCTTGAATGTTTAGAGGTTACTGTCATTTTTTTTATTTCCCTTAGATCGTGGTGAAACGTAAATGCGATGCTGTAAAGTATTTACATTTGGAACTTAATAAATGCTCCTTACTATCTTGAATTCCACTTATTTGTGGTTGGAAACTAGTCTGCGGAGGTCAAACCAATTATTTGCGACATCCATCAAAGTATCAGAACTACTATTTTTGAGAGAGAATATCCTGAACTAAGCATTTTATTACAACTACTCAAGCATTTGAAGATATCTTTCTTTGCGAACATAGATAACTTGTTTAAAGCTTCAGATCAGTCTGCTGTACCGGTATCGCAGAGGTCATAGAGTGAAATCCCGTACAGGCCTGAATTTTTTTCTTCAGGCCTTATTTTCACTACTGCTCAAGTAGTGTTCATTACTACGAAGATCGCTTTCATATTTTAGCGGCCATTTTGGTCATGCCTCTCTCTGGTGTGTCTTATTAAAGGGGAATGATAACTTCCCTCAGATGCTTTTTCTTTCATAGCTGTCTAAACTTTCATTTGGTGGGTGTATCACCGATTACAATGATTTGTACAGCATTAATCCGGTAGCATTTCATCGCTGAGACATGAGGAATGAGTTATTGGGATATCTTTAATATGGTTTGGATATAGCATTTTACAAGTGTCTATTACTCCGGTCAAAATAATAAACTAACAAAAACCTATGTTTACATAGGTATAAAGCAAAATATATTGTTGAAGCCGTAAACTTAATTCCCTTGTTTTCGTCGATCCTCCTTGCATTTATTTCTAAGTATATTTTAAATTGTTCCAGTTTGTTTCCAATCATAGCCAGCGAACTTATAACACGTAATGCTTTGTGCAGAGAGGCTAAAGTTACTAAGACACTTACTGTAACTTGCGAATTCCTGATTTGCTGGGTGCCCGTATCACTGGAAACAACTTTTTTGGTATAGTTTTACAGTCGCAATTGAAACTCTCGCCAATTTCGTATTTTTTTTTATTTGTCATTTACCAAAGACAATTATTCATAGTTGCATTAGGGGCACCCTAAAATGTCTGTTATTCTACCTTGCATATTGACCTACAACTTATAAAGAAATACCAAACAAAATGAGCGGTCAAATAAATCAATTGAAATTCAAAATGAGTGGTTTTAACAGCCGGATGAGCTCGCTGAAGGTAAAGGTACAAAGGTACAATAATAGAGTTTTAATGGCTTTGTTAGGCCACGCAGATAGAGGTCTCTTGATGATTGGATGATTCCGCTCTAGTTCAGTATGAAACCTGTATATTTAAAAATAATAATAATAAAAGATAATGGGATTTTGCATTGGATAGTCTACGAAATGGCTCTTCTTATCCATTGACACAAATTGTACATTAACGTTGCAAAACATAGTGATTTTAATCACTATATTAGATATATACAAAGTGCAACCGAGAACAAATCTTGTTAGCAGCAGGGTTGAGGACTTGAACCTGGGACCAACAAACTACAAGTCTAGAGCTCTACCCATTCGGCCACACTGCCTCCTTGACTGGAGGTTGTAAATCCTTAATTTCATCAGTTTGCTGTAATTTAACACTTATTTGGTACTGGGTAACTAGAACTTCTCCTTCTTGATTAGTGTTCTTGGTCTTTTGGTTGAACAGGTGACTGATTTTCTGTCTGGTCTTCCAAAGAAACTGTGTTTTTGCCTCTCAACCTGTAGAACATAATTGACACTTACATTTTCCTCAGTACGTTCGGTCTTAAACGAGCAAGAAGTTACCAAGATAAGAACTTTAAAACATTGAAACAGTGCCTGAGGTTAAGCATGCATGTATCTATATCTCACTGGAAAGTTAACATTTATAGAGACAAAGAGTACTGCGAATGTCAATAATCGTCTCACAATTATTCTTGTTGGAAATTAATCATCGTATTAAAAGACAAAAACAATTTTATTGTCCAACAACAATTTTAGGACGCTTTAGCTGATGAAAGTAATAATTTCCTTAAGGCTGTCGATGAAAGCGAAATTACTCAATACAACGCGTAGATGGTATCACTTCTTTAACTGCTATGCGTAATAATAATAATAGTAATAATTATTATTACTATTTTTATTATTATATTATTATTGTATCAGCAGTGTTACACATCTTAATGCTATGAATCCTAATGGCACGGTAGGGCGCTAAGCGTAGCCTAGAGGCCATGTTATAAATTAACTTAATTTCCTAGCCAATATCTATCCATATATATAGTTATATATATGTATTACATCTCTTTAACAATGATTCAATAAAGCTGCTAAAATGAATTTAAAAAAAACTAAGAAAAACCCTCTAGAATCCTCTTATAAAATATAAATACGAAAAAGAAATACAAATATACGATAATAATTCTCACGGAATTAAAACATAATCAATACTCTATCAAAGATATGTGGCGAGCAGCTTAGCCACTCCCAAAGAAGTTCATAGAGGAAGAGATCCCAAATATTTAATCTATATAGTCAGTGTCCATATGTTCAATGTTCCTCTCTGATTGGTTGGCGCCACATATACATAAGTCTTGAAAGTGCGCGCAATGTTCATGGTCTTTCCTCTGCTTCCGAACATCTCGTTCATCGTCTCCTGGAGTTCTTTAGACTATTATTATTATTACTATTATTACTATTATTACTATTATTACTATTATTACTATTATTACTATTATTACTATTATTACTATTATTACTATTATTACTATTATTACTATTATTACTATTATTACTATTATTACTATTATTACTATTATTACTATTATTACTATTATTACTATTATTACTATTATTACTATTATTACTATTATTACTATTATTACTATTATTACTATTATTACTATTATTACTATTATTACTATTATTACTATTATTACTATTATTACTATTATTACTATTATTGCTATTATTGCTATTATTGCTATTATTGCTATTATTGCTATTATTGCTATTATTGCTATTATTGCTATTATTGCTATTATTGCTATTATTGCTATTATTGCTATTATTGCTATTATTGCTATTATTGCTATTATTGCTATTATTGCTATTATTGCTATTATTGCTATTGCTATTATTGCTATTATTGCTATTATTGCTATTATTGCTATTATTGCTATTATTGCTATTATTGCTATTATTGCTATTATTGCTATTATTGCTATTATTGCTATTATTGCTATTATTGCTATTATTGCTATTATTGCTATTATTGCTATTATTGCTATTATTGCTATTATTGCTATTATTGCTATTATTGCTATTATTGCTATTATTGCTATTATTGCTATTATTGCTATTATTGCTATTATTGCTATTATTGCTATTATTGCTATTATTGCTATTATTGCTATTATTGCTATTATTGCTATTATTGCTATTATTGCTATTATTGCTATTATTGCTATTATTGCTATTATTGCTATTATTGCTATTATTGCTATTATTGCTATTATTGCTATTATTGCTATTATTATTATTATTATTATTATTGTTATTATAATGATGATGCTAATAATGGGAATTTGGCACTGGACATCAACGAGATGGCTCTTCTTTTCCATTGTTCCCGGGTCGAATGATATTTGCATTATTGGTTTCTGTGGAGGGAGGAAAACTGGAGGACCTGGAGAAAAAACTTTGGAGCAAGGAAGAGAACCAACAACAAACTCAACCCACACGTTGTTTTCTAGGTCTGGGAATCAAACCCGGACCACACTGGTGAGAGGCGACCGCTCTCGCTACCGTACCATCCCCGTTCCGGGTACCAGAAATTTTCTGACATTTGGTGACTTTTTTTTATCGGATGGTCTCATTTTTCAAGATATGTGAGCAAAAGAAACTAGGAATCCTGGGACGTGAAATCTATCAACAATGTAGAAAATACTAGACAACTGCGCTTGTGATTGTTTGGACTTTAGATGCCCTTAACTATCTATTTATCCTAACTTTGTGATCTTACAAAGCTTGACAATGCGGAATATTTTTGATGGCAATACCTACCCAAGCTTCAGCTTGTTAAACTCATCTTGGACCTTCTGCAAACGCTCTGTGCTTTCAGTTCGTTCCCGCGACCACTTCTTTAGTTGACTGAATTCCTTACTCAGTCTTGACTTTTCACCCGACAAACGATCCTTTTCCTTTTCTATCTCTGATAAATCCTCAGCGATCATTCGTATTCCTTCAGATGCTGATTCGTTCAATTTTTCACATTGTGTTTTGATTACCATCAAATTTCCCTGAGCCCACTTTTTCATGCAGTCGAACTTCCTCTCACTGGGCCCATAACGTCTCCTTATTGCTTCTCCAATTCCGGATCCTGAAAATTTTTTCACGAACGTGGGAGTAGAAGCACCAGCAGTAACACCAGCACTAGCACTAGCAGTAGTAGCAGCAGCAACAGTTCCTGGGTTTGCCACTGCAGCAACCATCATAGAAAAAAAAAAATATGGAAAGCATATTGTCTCAAGATATTTGAATGAGTTCTTGTACAATTATAAATGATAAAAATGGTATTAGTGCTAGTGGTAGTGAGAGCGGTAGTGCCAGTAGCAGTAGCAGTAGCAATAACAGTACTAATCAATAGCGGTAGTAGTCGTGGTGGCGGAGGATCTGGGGATTGGCGGTCGGGGTTATGGGGGTGGTAGAAGTTTCACCGTTCTGGTAAAACTATTTGAAAAAAATACTCTTTTCTACTTTTCCTCCGTAAAAATGTGTTAAGAAAGAAGCGATCAATGTGTATGACCTTCGAGGAGATGCCTCCATTCCCGAGAAGCTTTTGCACAAAGCCTCCATCACCTACCAACAAACGGTGCTGCTGCTGCATAAACCACCAATGTTGGTACTGTTGCAAGAGCTGCTGCTGTGCCAGCTGCACAACCAAGCGCAAATCTCTAGAAGTTGTCCCTGGTAACGTAGGCATAAGGGTCTGTTAGGCTGCTATAACTGAAATCTTTCAGCGTAGCTTCATAGGGTGGCAAAAATTGTTGAGGAAAGTTTGTTTGAAAAGATCTGAGATTATCCTTCCGTTCCTGATACTCTTTTTCTACCTTTTCACTTTGTAACTGTAAAGCTGTGTTGATTCCATCTATCATCTTCTCGAATGCGTCAATAACTTCATTCTCACTTTCCACAGTGGGACAACTCTTGAAATTGTTGCTAAGTTCCTGTATCAATTCATTATTCTTCCCTTCACGGAGTCGAGGTCTTATCAGATCAATAAGCTTCTTCGCTTCCTGATCCACTGCTTTAAGGCTACATTGTTTTTCGTTCAAAGTGCAGATTTCGCCCTCTATCTTATTCAGATGACTATCTATGTATTCTTCCCTCGTCTCCAAGGTGCTTTTTATGTATTCGAAGTCCTTTTTGTGTTTTGAAGTGAGATCTTCAGCTCGTTCTATTAGATTCATGTCTTTCTGCGCTTTAACAGTTTTTGCACTCTGTGCTAAATCTGTCTCAAACCTCAAAAAATCATTTCTTGCATCATTGGCTTGTGCGGAGGTCTCCTAGAAGACAATTATACAAAAACGAAGTTTTGATAAAGTGGTATTGTTTCTCTCGCAATGCACTAATTTCTCCCTTGATTAAAAAACCAGTCTTCCATAGGCGCTTAGGTCAAATGTTAACCTAGCTATATCAAGTGGTGTGATTTACAGTACTTCTTCCGAATGCGAATGGGCGAGAGTGGAAAACAAACGCTGGACAGAATCAGAGCATGACAGAAACATTCGACTCCCTAAAACCCAAACTTCTACCTTTCAAGGCACGCCGACAACACCAGACAACGCCTGCTTTAGAACGAAGTAAATTTCACTTCGTCTTATTTTGAATTTCGGCGTGGAACACATAATCCTTGTTTAGTTGAGTGAGCGCCAAGGCGTTAATTCATTTTGCGCAGTTGACCTCGAACGCGGTTCGTTTTTTTCTGCGGCTAAAACAATCTCAACCCAACTTTACGTATACGTTCAAAGTCGAGGGTAATAAAAATTCTACTTTCAATCTAATAAATCTTCAAACTTTTGGATACCTTCGCTACGATGTTATTTTGGCTACTACGCATTTGGAGTAACACTGTTGAAAATTTTTAGGGGCTTCTAGTTTCGCCATGAACGCTAACAACAAGCAGCTTACTAAGAAGGTCAGACGATGTGGTGGAACTCAAAAACGGAACAGAATAGTGCGCCCAATTTACAAGCAGTTAACCACTAAAAATTTATGTCAACGAAAATTATTTCGAAAGAAGGCTCCTGCCTACTCTCAGATTACTGCAACCTACGCCTCGGGTGCCAATTTTGTGCTCTTGCCACATTATGACGTATAAGTGATTAGTTAGTTAATTGAAGCGCGGCAACGCGGAGTCTTATGTTTTTCAATGTGTATATTTATAAATTGTAAATCGGTTTTTGTACCATGGGGAACTTTTTCGCTTCTCGTATGTCGTTTCCTGCTCCAATATGATTTTGTCACTTAAAAACGCGCGCATTTTTCTGTTCGCTACAGGACTCTCCAATACCTCGATTTATCTCGCTTCCAGGTTTCAGGTAACTGATCAGATGGCGAGAATATGATTTGCACAAACCTCACCTTTTCTTTGGTAAAATGCTTTGTACCAACGAAATAAACCATGTGTTTTTCTTTCACGAAATGCTGAAACTCTCCTTTGTTTTTTTCTTGTAGTTGTTGCCTCTTGCCTTCTTCTATATCTCGTAAGACTTTATCCCATTTTGTGAAGACGCCAAAGTTGAACTGGCAATTCACATTGTTTAGCAGACCTGCAATCTAAAAAGCGAAACACAATAAATTAGGGAACAAATTTCTTTTATTTTACTGTTAATATATTTACTTAAACTTTGGTATGTTTGGTTTGTTTCCCATTTTCTGCCCTTTTTTGGGTTTCATTTGTTTTTGACGTTGTTTGTCAAATTAATAATTCGTCTACTTATTTCTTTAATCTTTTTCTTTAGTTGAAAAAGAAAGCTGTTGATGACTCAACAGCGAACGACCAGCTGAGAACTTACTGAGTGAATCAACCTGGTAGCGTCGTTAATTAAACATCGGCGAAAATAAGGCATTGTGTTCGACCTCCACTTCAAAAATTTCTTTTGATTGCCTACAATCGCTAATGAGTGAGAAAATACTTCTCTTCTTCGTCCAATTAAGCTCTTAAAAACGATTCACGTGATCGATGTAAGGTTGTTCAGCAAAGCTCCATGATTAATTTGAATGGTGCCCCCCGCATACCAGGAGCGATAATAAAGTAATGTATACATCTCCTTACATCATGTATAGAAGGTGACCCGACATCCATCACAGCAACGAGTATATCTGCCTCCTTGCATGAGTCGAGAACAACTACGTCGCCAGCGGGGTTCTCTTTAGAACCGGGTGTATCTATCAAAACGATATTTTTTGGTAGAATGCAGAGGGGGTAAGGACGTTTCACTTGTATGACACTGTGAGAGTCGATGTTGAGCTCCTTCCTTTCTGCAGAGTTTGACAATGCAGAAATCTTACTCAAGAAGGCCTCTACGTCCTCTCTTCCTCTTCGCTGGTTTAAGAGTAGCTTTTCACAACCTACTTGATCAACACTCCACTCATCAGCCGTAGGGCGAACCTGAATTTTGCACATTGTTGTCTGAACAGTTGTAACGGGAAGAAAGCGGTTTCTGAATAAGGCGTTTATCAAGGATGATTTGCCACTGCTTGTAGGTCCCACAAATACAATGGCTACATCTTCAGATATCGCTTTTTTAAGTTCTTCTCCCAATTTATCCACCGTTTCGTTTAAGTTTTCGTGCAACTGCTTCATTTTCTCTGGTTTGCAAGGAATTTTACCGTAGTACTCCTGATCGAACTCACTACAGACCCCTTGAACTTCCTCTATTGCTTCCGTTAAACTCTGAATATTTTTCCTCAAATCCCCCTTAATTTTCTCGGCTGTTTCCTCGATGCC